ATCAACTCTTGAATTTTACCAAAACATGGTTAAAATCTACGTAGAATAGCCACGAAATGTAGTGCATATTTTGTACTTATAGCCAAGGAGATGCAAAAGAAAATAAGTGTCTTGGAACCCATTTTTGCTCAAGGAAAATTTATGTATTGAAAACTGATTTTGGAAAGGATGAGAAATCTGGAATTGATAGATCTCTATTTGTAGGAAAATCTATGCTAGATTGACGTCAAAAGTGTCTGGAAGTCGGCCCACGGTGTAGTTGAATCTGGTACAAGGTTCGTCCCTTTATGGGAAGTAAAGGAATAGAGATGTATACAAAGAGCATTTAGGTTCCGTTTGATAAAACTGAATCTGAATTCTGAAATCTGAATACTGAAACAATTAATTTGCTGAATTTTAAGCACTGAAAAGAAATATATGAATGTCTAAATTTTAATACTCAATTTATTTCTACGGTTTGATAAATATTTATAATTGAATGCTTAGTAAGTTAAATTTGATAATTTTGCCCTTATATCTTTTCATCCAAAAAAGAAATAGAACCTATGATTTAATTAGTTAAAAATGTTAGGTATGAAAATGACAATATTTATTTTTAAATCAAATTAATATAAAAGATGAAATATATTATATGAGGAGTATGCAGAAGATGTGAAAGTCATTCAAAAGAGAGAAAAGAGGAACAGAAAATCATTAGATAGAGAATATTAGGTTGTTTAATTAGATAAGAATTTTGCACATAATTAACAAACAAGGATAGATTTGGTAGAAACAATAAGGTAGTTGAAGTAATTTTATTGATTCTTATCAGAATTAAGCATTCAGATAGGATTCTTGTGCTGGAAAAAATACACACAGGCTCAGCACTACTTAACAAGTTTAGCAAATGGATTTTCATTTATCAAACAGTCAAAAAATCTGAATGTTTGAAAAAATTCAGAGTCAGCACTTTTTTATATTATCAAACAGACCCTTAGTCTACATTCTTGCAATTGTCAAGGGATAGAACTTGAGCATCATGAAGAAAAATAAGATTCATGTGTTATATCCCATCAATATGTCCTTAATCTAATGTATTCACTGTTTTTGAAGTTAAAGATATAAAAGCCTATGATCTCTAAATAAGAAGACGCAAACATAAGTAAAATTCTGCATCGAAAGAACAATGTAGCCGAATTAGAACTCTAAGCATTACAGGATCGTATAAATGTAACTCGAAGAAATAAAATGTAAAATCATCTAAATGTTTCAGCACGTCTTTAAATCTTCTAACTTGTACTCTCATATGGCACAATTAATGGCCTCGTGGATTGCCTTCAAAAGAGAGGCATAGTAGAAGCCGCGGCCTAGCCAAAGGAGAAAACGTCGGTGAGATGTTCTACCCTACCTTTTAAATGCATGAATACGTTCATGAGATATCATGTCTCGAGCTTCCTAATATTCAAAACCATTTAAGGATTTAGAAAATATTCAAGTGAATGAGTCAGAGTATCATATTTAGTGTTGTGTAGTTAATGAACAATAGGACCTATGAAGACTTAGTCAAGAAGATTTGGTCCGGTCCACAACCCGAGATTTGACTCTTTCCATTGTTTACAATGCATAACTAAATACATTATACCTCTATTTCATTTATCCGTAAAGATTAGGATTAGTCAAATTTAATAATGATTATATCCTTTTCTAATAAATAAAACACGTGTCATACATCTAATTGTGATGGGTACTGTGAAAAATGGAGAGGGGATCCAATGAAGAGAGGAGCTGAATCTGACAAGAAGAACCTGTGAAGATTCATAAGTTAAGAAGTAAGAATTGTCTATAAATACTTACCTAATTGTTTGTACTCTTTATATTTTGTTTATAATTAGTATTCTTGATTGATTTTTTTTACTTGACTTATAAATTCAAATCTACTTATTTTGGCAATCAGTTTTTTTGGGACAAATTAATTTTATCATTGACTTGACTTGTTATTGTAAACATACTCATTTGACTTGTTAGTACTCCGGACTATGAAGAGATCATTTATCTAAGAGAACACTTTTTCTATTCTCTTAAAAGAGTGACACTAAACCTTATAAGAAGGTAGAGGAAAATGGAAAGACTTAACAGCCAAAGGAGAGATTTACAATTACGTGATTACCATTTAATGTTGTTATCACTGACCTAGTTGGGAAAAAGAACATAGGACTATGTAATAATTTCGGAACAATTCAAGAACTTGGATTTTTTTTTTCAAGTTGAAGTGAGACTCCAAGACTTATGGTTATGGGCATGCATCTCACAATCATTTAATTAATGTCTTTATTAACTGAGTTGAATCACCCCTTCCTTCTATGCTGACTACGGGATGGTTTTCTGAGAAATTGGGGGGCCAAGCATGGAAATGACAAATGCAGCTCTTATTGTAGCAATGAAATTTCAGTCAAGTGACTCTTTTTATTCATTTTCTGTTCTAATTAAAGTTGGTTGAGAAAGGTTTGAGCCCTCTGGAAGCCATTTTTAATGAATTCTTTGGAGATGGAAATTCATTTGAAAAAATAATTAAACAATAAGTGTTTGGTAACCCATTTTAATAGACTTTGCTACAAAATACATTTTCGAGAGTTACCTTAAACTTGAATTATATTTTAAAATCAACAGAAGAAGACAATTTTCTTTAACAAGATATTTAATATTGATTATCGTTGGTGGGATTACAATTTACTTCATTTTGCTAAGGTTGCCATGACTCCGGGCTTGGTAGGTCCAACATTTTTAAAATGGCCTAGATTGAGTGTAGATAACATGATGAACTTCACTTTCAGAACTCTGGTCTTTCTGAACTACAGTAGCTATAATTTGTATAATGAAAGAAAAGGAAATATAAGGGAAGGCAAGAAGCCCAAGACAACGACGAAGGGAAGGATAAGGGACCGAACAAGAAGACCTTTGAAGTCTTCCTTGTACAGTAGGGATAATCATGGGCTCTCTCTAAATAATCTCCATATTCCTTTTTGTCCTATTTTTCCCATTATTTTCAAGGCTTATAAAAGCAGTTACCATTGATTAAGTCATGATGAACGAGTCAATTATGAAACATTTGAAAGATATTGATGGAGTATACGAAGGAAAAATAAGAGAATTAAAAAAGGGGAAGCGTTGGCAATGAACATGATGGGTTGAGTGGAGTCGGGATGGGCCAGAAATTGGACTCACAAGACTTGTTAGTGCCAAGTTTGATTTTAAATATATTGTCAGGTGATAAAAATTTACTCCATATTTGAATCGAAAAGGATCCACTTGAAAGGACTAATACTCCAATAAAGGCTAAAAAATGAACTAAATTACTTAATATTCGAATTAAGATTGGCTCGGCAAAAACTTGTTTGAACTTGATTTCACCAACTATTCAAACTAAACTTAAACAGTATTTTGTGTTCTATAATTGTCAAACACAACTTAAACTTAGTCTATTAGTACACAAGCGAAATTTACGTGTAAAAAAATTTATTCTACTTGAACTAAATTTGAGTTTGGTTAGATAAAAACCCATCTAAATTTGATTCTGCAAATAAACAACCAACTAACTTAGTGACAAAGACTCTCTATTTAACATAATCTATCTATCTAGCTCAAGTGGCTAATTGACAAGCCAAGTGGCTGACTCGGTCAGGTTTTGGAAGTGTTTTTCGGAATCTTACATTATGCATTTTCATTTAGCCAGTGTGCACGAACTTACATTGCTCACTGATTATGGATGCTGGCATGTTAAAAGTGCGCGATAAGTTTTCAAGTTTCTTCTAATTCTGTGAAGCACAATAATTGGTGTTAATACAGAATGTAAAATGATCAAGAGTTGTATGTTAGAATCGATTCTTGAAACAAAATTAGTACCTTTCTTGTATGTATTCCCACAATTTTATGTTTGTATTTTTCTATTGAGTAAGTTATCTTATTATTGAACTTGTTAGGCTAATAAAGTTTTAGAATCCATCAATATAATTAGTCCAAAATTTCTTGAATTTAAACAAATGCTTCTCCTAATTCTGGCCAAAATTAATCTCACTTCTGATCTAATATAGAACTGCAACATAAATATCTCAACCTACTGATTGTGGTTTAAATATCAGGTAATTAGTACTCCTTCTCCAAGAAGTACTTGAGTTACCTTTTCTATAGATTTAGTAAGAAAAATAAGTCATAGAAGATAAGAACGGTGCAACCTCAATCATTAAACGTTCCAATATTGCTTTAAATTTCTTGGACCATTGCATCCTAAGTGTTCCAATCTCAACAAGTAAAGACAAAGAAGAAGGAACAAAACAAGAAAACCACTGAAGTCTTCCTTGTACTGTAGGGATATATTGTAGCCTCATTTGCGGTACAGATAACGTCGTCAGCCAACTTGAGTTGATCATGGGTTCTCTCAAAACAATCATCCTTCTCCTTTTGGTCCTACGTTTCCCATCAATTTCGAAAACTTGTAAAAGCGGTTACCATTGATCAAAGTCATGATAACCTAGTCAATCACACAAGTTTGGAAGATATTGATGGAGGACAAGAAGGGAAAAGGAGGCAATTGAAGAAAGGAAAGTTTTGGCAATGAGTATGATGGGGTGGGGAAGGTGGCATGTGGAGGAGGAGCAATATTTGGATGCATACAAGACTAGGGAGGGCCAATTTCGATTTTAAACATATTGTCAAGTGGTAAAAACTAACTTTGCTAACAATCCACTTGAAAGCAAATAATGTTGCAATAAGGGCTCAAATACAAACTTTTTTTTTGAATTTAGTTTGGTAAGAATTTGTTTAAGCTTGGTTTTGCCAACAATGCCAACAATTGAAACCAAACTCAAATAAAATTTTGTGTTTGGTAAATTGTCAAATTCCATTCGAACTTCAGTCTAAGCAAGAGGACCTCTGAAGTCTTCCGTGTACAATTAGGATAAATACTAGCTTCATTTGTGGGACAGAGTAACAAGGTTAGCCAACTTGAATTGAAATTGAAAGTAATCATGGGCTCTTTCAAAATAATCTCCATATTCTATCTGGTCGTCGTACTTTTCCCATCTTTTCACCCCAAATGTGGAGCTTCAGCTTCTGTTGAAGAGGCTGCTGCTCTTTCGAAATGGAAAGCCAGTTTTTTGAACCAGAACAATAGCTTCCTAACCTCATGGAACCTTCAATCAGGCAATGCCAAGAATTCTTCTATACTTCCATGCACTTGGGCTGGAATTTCCTGCATTGATGGAAGTGTGAACAGGTTGAACCTCTCAGATTGGAGTATTAAAGGTAGCCTCTATGATTTCCCTTTCTCATCCCTCCCAAATCTTGAATATCTTGATCTCAGCTTTAACCATATCTTTGGAAGTATACCAAAACAAATAGGTAACCTGTCGAAACTCATTTATCTTGATTTCTGGGCTAATGAGCTGTCAGGCAAAATCCCTCCTGAAATTTGCAACTTGAGAAACTTGAGTCATTTAGATTTTACAAGTAATCAACTTTCAGGTCTCGTTCCCCTGGCAATCGGGAATCTGATCTCACTTCAGTTTCTTCACCTGGAGCAAAATAATCTCACCGATGCAATCCCAAAGTCAATAGGCAATTTGACCAATTTGATTGAACTGTATCTTTATGAAAATCAATTTTCGGGTTCAATTTCCAAAGAAATTGGTGATTTAAAATTTCTTACTGATATGGAATTAGATCAGAACCAATTCAACGGTTCCATTCCTAGTTCAATTGGTAACTTGAGTAACTTGGAAGCACTGACACTCTACAACAATCAATTTTCTAGTTCAATTCCAGCTACTTTTGGTAACCTCAATAGGTTGGTGACTCTAGATCTCTCTTCCAATCAACTTTCAGGTTCAATTCCTGTTTCAATTGGAAACTTGAGCAATTTAAGAATACTGTTTCTTCGAGAAAACCAATTTTCTGGTACCATTCCACAAGAGCTTGGAAACCTGAATAAGTTGGTCGTTTTGGAATTGGATCATAATCAGTTCTTTGGTCCATTGCCAAAACTACTATGTCAAAATGGAATGCTCCAAAACATTACAGTATCGGGGAACATGCTTACAGGCCCAATCCCTAGAAGTTTGAAAAACTGCTCAAGCTTACTTAGGGCCCGTTTTGATGGTAACCATTTCCAAGGAGACTTGTTAGAGATGTTTGGAATCTATCCATTCCTGGATTTCATAGATCTCAGCAACAACGAATTCTATGGAGAACTCTCTAGCAACTGGGGTAAATGCAAACTTTTGAAAACCCTACTGGTTGCAGAGAACAACATCACAGGTGGTATTCCTCCAGAAATTGGAAATTTAACTCAACTACATGCACTTGATCTTTCTTCAAATTATTTATCAGGGGAGATACCAAAGGCAGTTGGGAAGTTACCTTCTATGCTTAAACTAGATTTACATCACAACCAACTTGCTGGTGGTATACCTCAGGAATTGGGAGTGTTAATGGAATTTCTAGACCTGTCCGCAAACTCCTTGAATGGAACTTTACCAGAATTTATGGGAGATTTGAAACACTTGTTTCACATGAACTTGAGCAATAACATTTTAAGTCAAAAGATTCCATTGCAGATTGGGAAGTTAACCCAACTTTCTGAACTGGATTTGAGTCAAAATTTCTTCACAGGAGAGATACCATCTGAGTTTCAAAATTTGCAGAGTTTGGGGACATTGGATCTCTCCCAGAATAACCTCTCTGGTTTGATCCCAAAGGCTTTGGTAGAATTGCCTGGTTTATTGCACATTAATCTTTCTTTTAATAATTTGGAGGGTCCAATTCCGAGTGGTAGAGCCTTTGTGAATCTAACCTTAGAAGAAGTAAAGGGAAATAAAGGTTTGTGTGGCAATATTACAGGGTTACGAGCCTGTGAAAGTTCCCGGTTGATTAAAAAGCATGTCAAGGATAAAAGGAAGGAACTTGTTCTCATAATTGTATTACCTCTTCTGGGATCATTCATACTTCTTGGTGTATTGTTCGGTGCTCTGAAATTGCATGATCGGAGAAAAAGAAATTCGCGAGTGGAAGATGTGGAGGTGAAGAAAGGCAGTTTATTTGCCATATGTGCTTATGATGGCAAAGCATTGTATAAAGAAATCATAAGATGTACACAAGAGTTCAGTGAAATATTTTGCATTGGGAAAGGAGGTTGTGGAAGCGTTTACAAAGCACAGCTTCCATCAGGCGAGGTAGTAGCTGTAAAAAGACCTCACAACATACCTAATGTGGCAAAGGATAAAAGTTTCTTGAATGAGATCAGGGCCTTGACAGAAATCAAGCATCGGAACATTGTGAAACTCTTTGGCTTCTGCTCAAATGCTCAGCATTCAATTTTGGTTTATGAGTACCTCGAAAGGGGAAGCTTAGCCAAAATCTTGAGCATAGAAGAAGAAGGTAAGGAACTAGACTGGCTAAAGAGGTTGAATATCATCAAAGGCGTCGCTCATGCTTTATCTTATATGCATCATGATTGTTCACCACCAATTGTACACCGAGACATATCAAGCAACAACATTTTGCTTGATCCAGAATGCGAGGCTCATGTTTCAGATTTTGGCACTTCCAAGTTTCTCAGAAGAAACTCATCTAACTGGAGTTCTCTCGCTGGCACATATGGATATGTTGCACCAGGTAATTATAAAGGTTTTACTTTTCTTTTCCTTTCATTAATTTGTTAACTGGTAAATCCAAGTATGATCACATGCTATGACAACATAATTTTCCAAATTTGTCTTGTAGAATTTGCCTACACAATGAAAGTTAACGAAAAGTGTGACGTTTATAGCTTTGGGGTGCTAACAATGGAAGTAATCAAAGGAAAGCATCCTGGTGACTTGATTGCTCATCTAATGTCTTCAAAGCCTGAAAAGATAGAACTGAGAGACTTGCTAGACCAAAGACTTCTATATCCCAATCAAGAAATTGAAAAGATTCTGATATCCGTTCTCAAACTAGCAAGAGAATGTCTACATGTTGATCCTCAATGTAGGCCAACAATGCTCTTTATTTCCAGGTTGATATCAACTCGTGAACCATCAAAGTAACTTCTTTGTGATTAACCGTGGCAATATGAGTCTCTTTTCCATTTCTTTTCTTGTTAAATTAATAGATGAATCAGACTTGTAGAACATGGATGATGTTTTTGGTTTTTTTGCAGGTATCTTGTCTCCTATTAAATGCAGACCGCAGTGCCTCACTGTTTTTACCCCTAAATAGCACAATCAGGCATAAGCAGAAGATGATATGATGTAGAGTATGTATTCTATGTAAAAATAAACTCCGCATAGCTAATAGAGTTTATGGAATTGAAACCAGAACTAGTACAGGGGGAAAATCAAGATATTGGAAATGTATCATAATTTTATCATCCTCAAAGTAATAATAATATGACATTGTTTTCGGTCTGAATAGTCTTTGATCTGCTTTTTATTATCTCCTTGTAAATCAAAGTTCATATTTTAACTAGTCCATAACTTGGAGTTTTGTTCCAAATAAATTCATTTAGTGTGTCTTGTAATTGCTAACTATTTCTTGAATGCTGTTGTTGATGAAAGAATGTATTTAAGAGGGCCATTTTTTGAATGCAGATGTTGACGAAAACAATGTATTTGAGACGGCTAATATATATATCACCCAAATTTCATCACCAATTATGTCTGTTGATGTAAAAAGAACTAAAAGATGAATCAAACTAGTCGATATTCAAATCGAGTTTGGTTTGATAAGAGTTGTTCAACTTGATTCACTAACTAGTCAAATCAATTTTGAAAAGCATTTTATATTCGATAATTTTTAAATTTCATAAGAAGCTCGTTCAATCTCGATTCGACAAATAAACAAATTAATTTTGAACAAAATTTCAAACTTATTAAAATAATTAAACAATCTTGAACAATAGAATATTTAACTTGATTAAACTCGTTTACATCCCTAGACATAGACGTCCAAGCATAAGCATTACTTCTTAAACATGAGCAAAGCCATTGCTTGCATAATAATGACTGAATGCACTTGCTTTTATACAAAATGTTGACTGTCCAATTGATCTAAATCAAATTAATCAAACATTTTTGGCCAAATTAATTAATTAAATGGTTCATCAATCCTTTTTCTTTTTAGTCAGAGGAAGGCCGAAGTCGAAATTATAAAACTACTTAATCCATTGTGAGTTGCACCCATCTCATTAGATGACAAGAACGACTTAACACCGAGTTGCAAATTAAGACTGATGTTTTATTTTAAAAAAAAATAATAAAACAAGAATCGTATTCCCTCCAAAATTGCAATGATTTGCACTCCTGAATTTCGGCTTAAGAGAAGTCGAACTTTCTATAAGAGACTAGAAGGTAAAGGATCCTCCGTTACGCAAGTCTCTGTCATGCCCCTGCTACATTTACAATATTTCGTGTATCTTTTTACTGGATTAGTGTATACTAGAGGTATCAAAATGGGTAATTTTGGCGGATTTGGGTTGAATAAAATGGGTAATAGGTATAAGTGAATCAACTAATTTATACTCATTTAATTAGATGGATACAAATGGGTAAGTCAAAAAATGAATTGGGTAACCCAATTACCCATTTATAATCCATTTATTTTAACTTTTTGTAAACTCATTTCAATTCATTTTTGCAAACTAAGTTACCAATTTATACCGCTCTTTGTACCCATCATTAGTTTTAAATATTTATTTATAATACTCAATAAGCCTAATTACCAATTTTTTTCTATTTATACTCTATGTCACAAAATTACATATTATTTAATAATTGAATAATAAGAATATAAAATTTTGAACTAAGTACTATAAAAGTTAATATAAAAACTTAATCCAAAAATTTTGAACCCCTAACATTTTATTCATATATAAATTTAAAATTTCATTTTAGAAAGATAAGAAAAGAGGCTAAAACCTATCATAAATTGGTAATGCTGAAAAATGAGCAAGTTAACAAACTAAGAGAAAATAAAATAATAAGATAAAACCAACAAATAATAATAATAATGAAACAAAAGTAGTTAACATCATGACAAAATGAAAAATTTGAAAAAAAAAATGGGTGTGGGAAGAGAATTCTAAATGGGTTAATTGGGTTTGATGGGTTATCCAATAATACCCATTTATTAAATGGATATTATTGGGTAATTCATTTATACCTATATACAAAAATTTAAGATACACATACCCATCTATTCATGGGCGGGTATGAATAAATTTAGTTAAGTGGCTCTCTATACCAAGTCTTAACACCATGCAGTGCTTTGTTGGAATATGCCTTGCAATTTTTCGAAGTCATTAACTTCATGTCTCGTAAGCTGATTTAACTGAAAAAGTCCCTGAGTTAGAAAATCCCCATCAAAGCAAATCTTCACTATTACAATCTTCAACAATGACAAGAAGTAAATCGTTCGGCAAAACCTGCTGGAGCACCGACCATTTCCAGTCCTTTAGTGTATATTACTCCCTAACTCTATACCTCAATTGCTTAAGACGGAATTGAAAAGATTCAATTGCTGTATCAAGAATCACCCCGTCTAGCCAAAATTGAATTCTTTGTGCATAAGAAAATCTGAGCAGCTTCTGATGCTGCTTGATATGTAGGAGCAACTAGATGAGTTCTGATTTGGGGAGACGACAATACTTTGCATGAAGGACCTTTTTCCAAGGCGAGTCGTCCATAGTGAGCAAATTTCATCTCGCTTTTGAAAGAGTTGCTTCAATTATAGTTACCAGAATGCGAACGCCCCATACTCCTCGATCCTTAGGTTGGCAAACAGTTTATCCAACCGGTTAATTGAACTAGAAATATTACTGGGTCAAGGTCACTGATTCAATAGTAAAGCTAACGGTTGTCAAGTCAATGTTGATGCTTAAAACCACAAATATGCCATGAATAATTAATATGTTATTTTCACCACTCAAATCACAAAAATGAATCCTATGAATAAAGCATCTAATTGGTGAGACAATTGTTGACTACGCTGTTTGAGCTTGCAAATCTTCTTCCTTGCTTTTCACACACACAATCACACCACAAGCAGTTAAGATCTAAAAGGCATCAAACTTTCTTATCCTGAAAATACAGGGAAGATACCTGGCTTGAAGGAATATATAGTGATGCTGCCATTCATGGCTCATGGACATCTAATCCCTTTCCTAGCTTTAGCAAAGAAAATTCAACAAAGAACTGGCTCTACCATCACCCTTGTTAACACCCCTCTTAATGTCAAGCGGTGCCCATGGAAGTGCTGCCTATGTTTCAATATGGCAGAACCTCCGTCATCGTTCCTCTGGCAAAGTTGAGTTCAGTGTTCCAGGTTTTCCTGATTCATGCCGGTTCCATATGACCCATCTGCATAGATATCTGCAAGCTGTAGAGGGGACTGATGAATGGTCAAAAGTATTTTCAGCCACATATAACAAATTCTTTGAGATCTCTTGGATTGTTAAGCAATACAGTGGAGGAAATTGAGCCTTTTGGCTTGGCTGCGCTGAGGAAGGACATAAAGCTCCCTGTTTGGTGCATTGGACTTATTCTTCCACCACAGATGCTTCAACAAGATTCTTCTTCAGAATCCAAAATCATCTGTCAGCAGCACAGCGGCAGAGAACCAGGATTGCCTAATGAACAATGCCTGGAATGGCTGGAATTCTGAGTGTTCTGTTCTTACATCTCATTCAGTTCCCAGAACTGTTAGTCCTCCTCAGATGATGGCATTAGCTATGGGGTTAGAAGACTCTGGGAAACTATTCATTTGGGCCATAAGGACTCCCTTTGGTTTTGATCCTAAAGGTGAATTCAAGGCTGACTGGTACGGCCGCAAGGTTTTGAAGAAAGAATGGCACAAACAAATCAAGGATTGTTGATGCATAAATTGGCACCCCAATTGGAGATTCTTTGTCACAAGTCAACAGGAGCATTTTTTAGTCATTGTGGATGGAATTCAATCAGGGAAAGCTTGAGCCATGGTGTGCCCATTATTGGTTGGCCACTTGCAGCTGAACAAGGGTACAATTCAAAGATGATCATGGAGGAGATGGGAGTTGGTATTGAGTTAACTGGGGGATTACAGAGCCATCTACAGAAGGAGGATGTGGAGATGGTAATAAATACTTTAATGGAGAAAGGAGGAAATGGAGAGGAAATGAAAAGAAAGGCACTTGAGATAAGATAGTTGATAAGGGCTGTTGTAAGGGAAGAGGAAGGACACAAGGGATCTTCTTTTCAAGCTATAGATGATTTCATCACTGCAGTTTTAGCCAAGCGAAAACTCTTCTTAACAGCGTCTGAATGAAGTTTTGTTGAAGAATAATCTTCTACTAAGCTAAAGTTGTCCTTCTATCAGTAAGCTTCTCCTTTGGCAACTGGGACAATTGGGTTTTATATTTAAGTCCCCTCCATTTTCATCTGAAATACAACTTAATTAGTTAAGCATCTGAATTGATTTCTGATGAACGATTATCTTCACTCTTGGGAGTTGGGACAGAATCGCCCTTTCATTTAATGAACTTTTCACCTCTCAAACAGCATAGGGCGCTTCAAACACAACGCACCCTTCCATCATCACTCCTTAACAGAAGAAGAGAACTAAAGAAATGAACTTGTACATATAGCATTCTTGTGGCATACGAGTTGAATTATCCTGTTAAGTGCTTGAATCAGTGGCAGATTTACACTGGGGCCATGGGCCCCTACTGCCCCTTAAATTTCTATGATACCTATAAAAATTTGATATAATTTCAATTGTGCCACCTGAAGTTTTGTGTATCTATTGGTTTATAGGCCTTCACTACCCCCTTAAATTTCTATAATACCTATAAAAATTTGATGTAATTTCAAGAGTGCCCCCTAGAGTTTTGTGTATCTATTGATTTATATGTTTTTAAAGTTGTCTTTGATTTTACCTGTTGTTACAGTTATTGTAGAAAGGGTTTTTTCAATGATGAATCTAGTGAAGGATTGGTTACAAAATATAATGGAAGACACTTGGATGAATAATTGTTTAGTTACTTATATTGAGAAAAATATACTTCGTGAAATTCAAAATAAAAAGGTTGTAAACCGTTATCAAAATATGAAAACTTGTCATGAGCAATTGTAAATGATTTAGTTTGCTTTTGAAATAAAATTATTATTACATTAATATTTTTGAGTTTGTCTTTTGATGTTTTTTATGAAATATATGCATCATTTGTACTTGTTGGTGAATATTTTTTTCTTAAAAAACTAAAAAAAATTAGGTAAAAAATTTTAGAGTTACTCTTGCCCCCACTAAAAATTTTTTCTGGCTCCGCCACTGGCTTGAATGCTAGAAAATACTGCTCACGCTACTTTAAAGTCATTTCATGTAATGGCTAATGAATTTGCTGGGAATGATGACCATTCCATACTTGTACCCCC